TTTAGGTTCCAAAATTATATCGATCAAACTATGCTTCTGGCCACGCAAATTAGTTAATTAATGATGGTTAAAGGGAAAATTTCAATGCATTTTTCTAAGGAAAGTGGCTCACATAGTTGGTGTAATAAAAAGTACTAATTGTTGTCTTAATTGGATCAGCTTGGAATATTATAAAACTTTTGAATATCACATTTATGAATAATTTTAGCACCATAATTATTATAATTTTGAGCAACATTAAGCAGATTTAAAACAAAACTATATTATAAGTATCTGTCAGAAGTTTTTTATTTTTTGGCTGCAGGATAAATTTTTGACGTTATTAAGCCAATTTTTAAGAAGAATTCAAGATATTTTTCAAGGAATATTTTAAAAACTAAATTTTTAAGTCTTCTTTTTCCAATTTGATATTAAGATTGTAATATGTATTATTATTTCCTAACTTTTATGTTATTGATCTATTTTAGTAGCAAAATATATGGTGAATTAGTTGGAAATAATGATAAAATCTCCAAGGAGCATAATTTAAAACAATTAAAAAAGTCAAAAAGGAATTAATAAATTTAACCATCGTTTATGAAAAGAAACTTCACAAGAATATTATGGGCGCATGACCTTGCCAGTTATGTTTGCAAATTTGCACTCTATAACAATAAGCCGCAAGGAAAACATCTGAAATTTATATAAAAGTCTGCAATAAGTGACGAGTGAATTAGAACCATGGCAGGAACGCGCGAGAGTAATCGCTGAAATTTCATCTTCTCAGCAGCCATTCAGAATATATGTGCTATGCTATTTCCGCCCAAGCAAAGGCGGCGCAAATGTATTCTGCAGCCATAAAGCAATGCAGTGTAATTTCCCGGCATGTGTGAAGATGATCACAATCCTTGCACGTCTTTCTCCTTTGAAAAAGAACCATGTAAATAAAAAAAAATAAAAAAAAATTCTCTGGAAGGCTCTTCTTCTCGAAGTTGACCTCGAGCGCCTCCGCCTCCCCTCCCGCGCACCTCTAGTGAGGCCTCGGGCTATTTAACGCGGTTGGTCCGAGAGCGCAGGCAAAAAACTGGTTGCTCATCTTCATAATTCCTCATTACATTTTATTTCTGGGAAGGGGAATGGCCCCAGAGACAAACTAGCAAGCAGGCTATTTCATCGTTCCGTCAACAGGGAAAACAAAAGTTTAGAGGAAACTTCAGCTTGCTTTACTATAAATTTAACTATTATAATAAATAATTAAAGTTAATGTTTTCAATGAAAAAGCAAAGAGAGTTAAAAGTGTTAATTTGAAAAATGAAAAATTAATATAATAAAATAGTTATTTTTATTTAAAATCTTCATAGTTATAATTTTGTGAAACAATTGAAAAAGCTGAAGGACATAGAATTTAATGAACTCATGATTTTGTCTTCACATTATTTCGAAATCAATTTGGGCCGGACGCAAATGGACCGCAAGCGAGATTTGATTTTGGCAAGGGATCTCGGCCAATTGGCTGCAACATTAGTCTCGCGTGGTGCTCACAGAGTCAACGGCCCCCGAGAGATTTTGCACACACTCTTGGACTTAGCGACGCCCTCTTTCGCGAATCGTCAATCTCGCACTCTCTCAGCCTCAATAGGCCAATTGCGAGAGTGAATAATTTTAGCATAATTTTCGCTACAACACGTGACCTCCCGGTGATAACGAGACCGTGAAGTTTGTGATAAATATTATGCCATGAGGGAAAAGTCACGGTTGGGCTGCTCTTTTGTTATGTACAAGTGAGATATGTTAGAAGACCGAGTTGTCTAGTAAAAGCTCTACTCGGATTTGAATCAAATTAAGCATTTGACATCTTTGCCATGATCTGGTGTTAACTCAATGAATGAGGGGAAAAGCCAGCAGTTGACATGTGGGAAGAACGATGCTGACTCACAAAGCGAGTCAATTAGAAAGGCCAACAGATCCTGAACTTTAATAAAGAGATCAGATGGTTTGAGGAAAAATTGCTCCTCTGACCTCTCGATACTTTTCGTCCATTAAGATATGAAACTGTTTTTAAAAATCAAATTTAAGTTTAATTTTCCTCATGAAAATTTCACTTTCAAATATTTCCGCAACTCGAGCATGAAAATAATGATTAGTTCCGAGAACAACTCTTGTAATTGAATCACTCTCCTTGTTCAATGAGAAAAATAATTACTGTAAAGACAATCAGTGTTGTTATTTCGAAAGCTCTTTAAGCTGTTTACTTGTACATATACAACCAGTCGGCATTTATCTATGCGTTTGCAGGCACGTTTCAGAAGCACGCATCATATAATGAGATGGAAGAGTTTTTCATAAACGCACTGATGATTTTTCTCGGCCGTTGTTGTTATGATAACCATTCTAGCGAGCGCCTTTACTGTACGATGTTTTTATTCATCCAAATGGTCTCGTTTGTGTGCTGGTTTTTCCAAGAGCTCTCTCACGGATCCCTTTGCTCTCTGGTTTGAAAAAGAGAAGCGCGCGAGATAAACAAGACATTCTTTGCCCTTTACGCAACACGCCTGAAAAAAAAATGTTTCAACCGAGCTGGAGCTTCTCTTTGTAGAGTGGATGATGTTTCTTGAGTGTGCTGGACGAAACACAGGAAGTGAAAGCAATATTTCACATTAATACTCTGCTGTTTGTTTGCATTTCACGGACATATGAACATTGAACACATTTTCGCAGACACTTTTGAAATATAAGGAGAAAAATGATTGCTTGAAAGTTAGCTTTTTAAAATTATTTATTATTTTTCATTGAAAAGAAAAAAAAACATTCATTGAGGAACTTCATGAACGTCTCCATAAGTGCCAACTTTTTAGCAAGTTCTGCTATTTCTCCAAACACGTTTGTAAACTTGGATGATTCATTTTTTTATATGAAAAAATAAATATATTTAAAATTTATTTATTTAAACTTTATTTCATGTTGTGGGAAAACTTTAAGGATTAATTCCTTTTGCAGCTCGTGGTGGTGAAATTTAATTGAGAGAAGTGAGTTTTCATATCATTTATGTACTAGAGAAGCAAAAAGATCATTTGAGAGAGCTGCGGAAAAATGCAGTAATTTAATACGGTGTGGAAGCATCAGCGCAGATTTCATTATATTATTTCAAAGTGTAACGGGACCGCTTAAGCGCAAATAAGTGTTCGCCATTTGAAAGAGAGAACACCTGCCTACGTATCTCTTGCTTATTTAGGTGTTTGCATCAGTGCAAAGATATGCACTTGAAGCAGCGGAAATTCCAAACGATTCATAATTTACAAGGAGGTTTTGAAAATTAAGTAAATTTTTATTTAACATTTAACTTCTATATTATTGTTTATTATATGAAATAATATTATTTTCTTATTAAGAAGTTATCATCCATAGTTTTAGTTGTTGATTAATTAGTGATATGATACTAATGATGTTGAGAATCTTTCATAATAATAATAATAATAAATAAAAAAATATTTTTACACAAAATGCATAATAATAAATAAATATATTTACATAAAATGCATAAAACATACTTATAATTATAAAAATATTGAATAATTTTGAAAAAAAAATAAAATTACAAACAAAATAAATTATATAACTTGCCTTGAAATTTTAAATTTTTAAATTGAATTGTTTAATATTCAGCTTAGTGTTTGACAAAAACGTGATCTAAGCTGCAATGAATTTGCGCTTTTCTCTGACGTTTTTATTTTCATCTGCGCTGTGCTCAGAATCGCAAAGTGCAGCGAAAGACGCACAATTTCGTGAAGTGAAATAAAATTAAGCTGATGGATACTCGGCACAGAGAGAGCTGGTCAGGAATAAAAACGCGGAACCGTGCCAAGACTTTTGAGCGCGCGCGTCCACAACCTTGGCTCTCGCCTGTAAAAATATCTCTGCAAATGATCTCTTCTGGCAGACGCACAAAAGCAACGCGTGCGTCCGACTCCATAAAATCACTTTTTCAAATTAAATGCCCTAGACCTTACTTCAGCAAGTTGGTGAAATTAGGTTAACGACGAGATGCTGCTCTTTCTCTACGCAAATGGCGTTTGGATTAAAAGAGTTGACGTGATAAAATATCAAGTGCGTCACTGAAACAAAACGTCGATTTTGCCATTTGATGGTGGCGCGAGATAAAGATTTGTCTGATATAAAATGTTTATAGCACCCATTGTCACAATAAACACAGTCTGTCTCCTGGACAAAAGAAAAAAAAACACTTCAAGATAAGTGACTGATGGAATTTCGCGACGATTTTTTTATTATTTTATATTAAAGACAAAATCTCTCTAATTCAGTGACGTCAAATGAGTTATTTGGGAGAAAATCGCCGCGGGACGTCGCTGTGTTGTTTTATTATTATAAACAAACCGCTGGCAAGAGAGAGGTCGCATTGGAGTTTATATGCAAAAAGATCCCGCATGTCGAAGGGAAATCCTTGTGCGCATTATTCGGGGCAAATAATTTCGCCACTTCTGCTGTTTTTCATGAGGAAAATGATTTGAGAGTTTTATATGCTGGTCACGTAAATCTATAACAAGTGTCATATCAAATAAAAATGACAAACGAGTTTCAATAAAAACGAAAATTTAGTTTTTAGTCAGGAGTGTTTGATAAAACTTATTTTATGTGATAATTTTGGATGAATATTATTTTAAAGGGTCCATAGGGCTCCACACGAGTCATAATAAAAGAAAAGGCTGCTGGGAACGTTCATTCACGCGATTAACACTTCCCCCACACAATGGAATTCGGAGCATGGCAGAGATGAGATTTGAGCTCCGAGGGTGATAACGAGCCGAAGCCAAATCGCAGAGCAGAGACGAAAATAATTATATTAAATTAAAGCAACACACTTGTAAAAAGTGAACGCTCTCAAAAACAATTGCGTGGGAAAGCTCAAATTCCCAGGCCCTCTTGCTGCCAATTAAACGCGAAATTCGTAATAAAATTTATTGTGTGCTATAATGAAAAATTATTTTAAAAGCTTTTCGACTCACCGAAATAATTATTAAAGTTGAATGAGGGTCTTCGAGTGGGTTGCAGCGTTGTGGTCCAGCTTGCAAAGGAAGCTACCCGCTAGTCGCGCAGAAATGACGTCTCCGCGAGCGAGCAGCAGCGACTGAACTAAACTAACTAAAATTGATGGTACACACAGCAGTGCGAAAGAGGCTTCCTGCTCCCAGTTTAAAGGCCAAGGCGAGCATCCAGTGCGCCGCAGCAGCTTTAGTACCTTCTGGCGCCCGCTAGGGGGCAGCACGCGACTGCATACACGAATTGAAAGTTTAGTTTAATAACAAGTGCACGTGGGTGGTGTGATCGTGGAGAAAAAATGAAAAAACAACGAAAACGTGAGTGATTAAAAGCCTTGATTTTAAGTCTCTCTAATTTCCTCAATTCTCGAGGTTCCACCATTTTATTTTTGTCCTCGTGGAGAGTTATTCATTCGTGTTGAAACATTGAAATTTTCGTTTCAAATTTTTGTTAAATTTGGATCAATATGACAAATACAACGAGATATTATTATAATATGATATTTTGCAATATTTTTTTCAAAAGCAGTATTTTTATTTTTACAGAGAATGGTGGTCAACATGGGTGCATCTTTAGCCTACATAGACTGGTCTGCACAAAGGTAATTTAATCAATTTTTTCTCTTATCATTCGCCATATTGCAATCTTATTTAATTCAATTATTATAAAAAATAGCTCTCAATTACATTAAACGCGGTACATTTTTTACTTTTTTTACTGCTTATAATAAGGAAACCTTAATTTTTGTAATGTTATATTTTGTAAGTGTAAATTGATACAGAAATTAAATTCTCTGAAAAAGAGTAACACGGTAAAACTTTTGGAAGATAATAATTTTTACATCTCATAAGTTCATATTTAAGTATAAGTATTTAGTTACAAAATGGTTTATGATGTAATTTCTATCCAAATGTTGTTTATATAAAAAATAATTAACATCTTAAAATATCGCGAGAGAAAGATAGTTTAGAATAGAAACGTAAGCAACCCAAATAAACATAAGTTTCATAATTATATTACTTCTAACATGTACACCATGAAATATTAACTATACGAATTTTATGCACATGATTGTGCCCTTCATTTTAGCTGAGATATGATGAAAGTATAGCTTATAAGTGCTCCAGCAGCCTGAAATCAAATAATAAATGGTTTAAAATTCCACATATTTGAATTCCTGTGATAATTGAATGATTACCGAAAATAACAGAGAATTATTTATCTCAAAGAATCCCCAGGCGGAAAAAGAGTAGTCTGACGCTCGTATTAAATCGTAAAATGCTTGTAGCTGTAAAAAAGGATTTAAATTAATAAAAAAGCAATACAATTTTATTTATCATACAATAGTGATTAAATATTTCAATTCCTATGGAGCTAAAAATTTAAAATTCATGACCTGTTGCGATTTATCATTTCCAGTTTTCGCTCTGTTCCTCAATCTCCTAATTTTTTCCTCGATTCCCTCTTTCTGAAAATTATTTTTTTTAATTGAAAATGGAAATTAATGTAAGCAAACCTCTAGCTTCACTTGACTGCAAGATCTAACTAATAGGAAAAATCGTAAGGCACACTCGAATCCTAAGAAAATCAGAGCGGTACATCGTAGCTGAAGTTCTGCAGATTGTGCCAAAATTGAAATCATTTGTCCTTTTTGCGCGCAAGACACTGCTCTTGTTAGCAGGCTCATTAAACAGGTCATAAAGAGCTGCATCAGATTGAAAAGAAGAAAGTGACTGAAAAAAGTATAAATATTTTAACATATCTGAAAGGTTTTATGAAAGCAGATGAGAACCTTTGTTTGCGCCGTAGTAAATTTAAGGCGTCAAGGATTGCTTCAGTTCCATCTCTCAATCGTTTCACTTCCATATCCGAAGTCATGACATTCGTCCTCATCCTCAAAAATGCAAGTCTTTTTGAAACTTCCTCGCACAAAATTGTGTGGAACAGTTCCTCTGTCATGATTATTCCAGAAACAAACCGAACTCCGATTTGATCCAGCCGTTTATTGCGATTGAAAAAGTACAGCAGGAGACAAATTTTTGTGGTTGCGTAAGCAAAGAAAAGCATCATTTTGCATGAAATCTTTTTTGAGCAATCAGAATATTCCGTAAAGTGATCGGCTCTGTTAAACATTTTAATCATATCATTTAAAAAATGGCACTTAGAGGTGCTGGTTTTTATTATGTTGATCATGTTTAGTGAATCAAAAACTTGGTATGCGCTGTAAACTGCAAAAATTGTAATCTGCGATGTGGCAGACGGTTTGCCTAAATTATCCAAAAGGTCTCTAAAGCAACGAAATATATGAGAAAGATAGAGCAAATTTGCTGTGCCCAGAATCGAGAGGCTGAATGTTTTGGCGACAAATGATGAAGTTAGTTTGTTGTTCTGGAAGTCTAATTTGGAAAAGGGAGCCACGCCAAAGATACGTCCTATGTGAAAAAGAAATTTTAGTCTACGCAAGTTAGGCGCTTGGGAGAGTTTCGTATTTTTCGGCGCACTCGCTGACAACATGATAAGTACTGTTTTGTTGTTACCAGCACGTCAGCTGAATGAAGAAAATCGACAAAGCAAAAGCATCCATTAGTAATATTAAACCAGTTAAGTTTATTGAGTTTGATAACGTCATTGTCAAATATTATTATTCTATTTTGCAAAGTAAATATTTTTACAGATAATTTTTTATTGTATAATTTGAAATGACAAAATATATTACGAGACCCCTACACATTTTAGATTTTATTACGTATTTTGCTTTCCTCGCGTTGATAAAATTTTTTTCAAATGATATAATTTATAAATGAACATTGTTATTGCAGTTTTTTATTTACTATTTACCTGTTCTATATTTATATAAAGTTTATTTTTTTGCTCCAAATCAATTTAAAGATTATTTCAGCTGCATGATTATTACAACATAGCTAGTGATCGCACTTGCAGCCTAAAATAAAGTAATTAATTTCGGTTTTTTAACTGATTAAGAAAGCTGTATGTCATTGATATCTACCAGAAAAAGGAGCTGCAAGTCAACGTCAAAAAGACCCCAGGCCGAAAATTTCATCTCCCGGGAAAGCGTTAGTTCGAAGAATGCTCTTACCTAATTTCGAAACAACATCAAAATATCAAATCTGAAAATAATTTAGACATTCAACCTCATTTTGCGTAACCTGATCTTGGCCGTGGACAAAACAACTCCCCACCAGGTGTTTAGTTAGAGTTGCCTAAAAATTTATTAAATTTTTTTATACAATTAACATTACATTTTAAAAGAATAATACCTCACTCTTTACTCGTCCGCACGATCGGCAAATTACAATCATATTTATTGACTCCAACAGTATATAAAATAAATACGTCCAAGGTATTTGACTATTAAATAGAAAGACTATTGACGAAACAATTGGCATAATCAGATTTAAACATATTTTTAAAATGTCAAACATTAGAAAGGGACTAAACATTTTTCCGATCACACTTTGTGATGTCATTAAGTTTTCATATGAAAACCGAAGTTGGCCAATATCCATTGACAAATACTTTTTGCGGGCCGAGTTCAATTTTAAATTCCGCAGTTCATTGTTAACTTGTTTCAAATCGTTGCCTAGCTGAAGAGCAAAAGATATTATTGTTTGCTCCACGAGGTGGTTCATCATAACTGAGATCAGAGTGAAATCTCGCAATGTAAGTTTTTCAGGACTAATTTTAGCAAGAACATAATAAATAAATCGCACAACCAAATAATATAATATGTCAACCGTAAAACGAATGTAAAAAATATTGCGTATACTTGTGTTTTTAGATTGGTTTTGAAACCTGTTAACAACGCATACACTTCTATGTTGAAAAAAGATTGATAGTGCTTTGCAGGACTGCAGAGCAATAAAAAGATTGCATATATAAGTCAGAATGGATGATGAATTCACTGCTAGCACTAAAACGGATACCTTATCCAAATTAACATTGCTTCCAAAAATCATTAAAAAGTTTTTCAAACTGTCATTTAACTGGGTTACAATCAGAAATCCATGAATCAAAATGGTGAGACTCCTTGAAGTGCGAGAGTCGAAAATTTCATTGTTGTTGATTTTCACAAATGGCAAAATGCAAAAACAGCGGAGAATTTCCAAAATTGGCTGATAATGCTTGATCACTTTGCTTGGCATTCTTCACCAAAGGCGTCTGAACTTGTTGTGATGAAAGTGACATTTGATTTTTAAATGGCGTCACTTGATATTTAATGAAATGACCCGTCTCTATTGATTAATAATTATAACAATTTTTACATTAAAACATTATTATTGATTTAAGTTGAAGGCAACTACACTCGCTCTTTGTCTGTCTCTGGCCTTGGATGGCATTAAAAATTCAAGCCATTTCAGAAAAGATGATTAAGTAGCTGACAATTGCGCTGGCAGCCTGTATAATTGTTAATTCATTTATAGCTTTTTACTCAAATTTTATTGAAATAAATACCTGAAGGAGAAGCTGCATGTCAACTGTAAAAATTCCACCAGCCATGAACACCAATTGACGGGAGGAAGCAAGTTCGTAAAATGCATCAATCTAATAATATTGAACATGAAGCATTAATTATCATTTTTTTTTATAAATTTATAAATTAAGTATATATTTAAAGTTAAGAAAAATAGTGTACTTGTGAACTGCAAAGAAAATAACACACCTCGTTTCTAGTAGACTGATTGATTCCATAAAAATTCAACCTTACTACTAAAGTTTGTGTTTCGGCAGCCTAAAATTATGAAATTATTTTTTGTTAAATGTTATTATATAAGATAATGTCCTACTTGTTTCTGTACGCTACCACAACTCCAGCATATAGCAGTCAAGTTGAAGCAATCTAAAGCTATATAAAACACCAATATTTTGGAAATAGCTATACCAGCTTTTTCCAATTCTACAACGTACATCAGAGTCAATAAAATATTTAAGCACAACTTTAATATTTCAGCTAACAAAATATATTTAAAACTGCATGCGGCTGATTTTTGAGCTGCAATGATCTGCTTGTAAAAAGACCTTAATTTGCGCAGCTTATCCGTAGGTTCAAAACTAGTTGCAGTTTGTAATGATCTCAACTCGATCTTCGAGAGCTCCTTATTTACAATTT